TTAGAAACATTACTTTAAATTTATATGTTTATTAGAAAGTTATAAAAAAAATAAATTATAAGACATTGTTGGACGGTTTATTCTAAGAAAATAGCGTCTTTACAAGGCGTTCTTTCTTCGATGCGTTGTTAAGCAACCAATGATATTTGGCAATATTAGTTACCGCGTCGTCTCAATCACCGCTTCGGTTGCTATGGCCAAGTGGAGGGGAAAACAGCAAAAGAGGAGATATTTGGTTGTCGACCGAAACGGCGTTCTGATTGGTTGAAATTATTAATTTTTGAAATTAATTTTCTCGGAAAGTATTGACGATAAAAATTTTTTGAAAACGGCAATCGATTCAGAAAATTTTTTTCTATAGCCCATTTTCGGGAACTATAATCCTTCTGAATCACCCTGTAATTACACTATTTTAAAAGTTTTTACTGCAGAAAATGATGTCAATTTTTCAATTTTTCGTGTATTAAAAATAGAGGTTGCAACCCCCAAAAGTCAAACACATCAGAGTTTGTTTGACTTTTTATAAGGATTATTACCTACTTTATTTTACTAAAAAATATTGACTAGAAGAAAAGTTATTTGAAAAAAATATTTTTGAGGGTGAATATTGAGGGTTGATTTCACCCATTAAATATGTTTTTCGCCGATAAAAAAGTACCAATCTCTTGCTTTTTTAATGTACTTCAACATATACAAGAATTATCAAAACCGGTGAGTTCGGATTCGGGTATCTTACTTGCAAGATGGGTGGAGCTTTTCCCTTCTTCATACAATTTTTTGCAAGCTTGAGTGTAACTAGTGCTCTAGCTGGTGGCACCGCAGGAATCGTAAAAGCTGTGAATGATACAGTCTAGAAAACAGCAATGGGAAGAGAACAAGTGACACAACGGAACGATTGACGCCATTACTCTAGGAAAAAGCTTGTATCTAAAACCTTATAAAAAAAGGCTATAGACTTTATCTCAAACCTTATTTAGGATCAGATTTTTAAAAAAAGTTAGAAATAAATCTACCTGATAGAGCCCTCACAAACACTGGCTTCATGAAGTATGCAAAAATTTTGAATAACCAAAGTTTCGCGGAGTCTTCATGAGAAATGAATTACCGAGTTCTGGACCATATTATCTCGAAGTATATGTCATTTCCGTGGCGAAGTGTTACGTGATGTACCATTTTATTTTATTTTCAGATTAGAACTTCGCTTTCGAGAGTCCCATTCGTGTCGCGCCAAGGCCAAGGACATAGCGATAAAACACTATAGCCAGTAGTATTCGTGTGCGTGGCTCGGCGGAAATAAGTGGGAGAAGCTGATGTATGCTGCACTCAGTGTGTTAGACTAAGTAATATGAAGCGATTAGAAACACGTAAACGACTAAAACGTATGCACTAGAGAGAGATGGAGTGTGAGAAACGAGAGGGAAACAAAGAATATATAACCAACTGGTGAAAACGACCAAAGTATTTTTATGTAATAAAAATAATAGACAACGCGAGGCGACGATTACGCGTCTATATATATCTCTCTCTATTTTTGGTTAAGTTATTTATGTAGTTAAACTTACTAAAATAAATATTATAAATTATTGTAAACGCGCTTAAGTATATCCATACGCTGCCCCGTAATATTAAAAAAATCTATTACATTCTTTTTTTTATATAAACGAACGTATATATATATATATATATATATATACGTCCGATTGAATATCTTATGATCGCGGTATTGGGCGCCGGATTAAGATTAATAGGGATTTCATTATTGACGCGTGAACGAGCCGGGGTGCCCGAAAGCCTGACTGCCGCCCGAGTCAAAGGCCGCTCGGCTGTTGACAGGCCTACATACGGGACAAATTCGCCTTGCGCGAATTGTCACTTATCACGAAGACTAACGGAGAAATATAAGCGAGAAAGTCTCTGGTTAGAACTCTACTATCATGGATTAACATGGAACTTTGGCGATTTTAAATACGAAGAGTGTAAATTCATCATCACAGATACACTCAAGATCTGAAAAAAGATAGAACAATATGGTTAGAACGATATGGCCTCAAAGTTTTCGATTTGAGTGATTGGGGCTATTCACCTTTCGAAAAATAAAAATCAGTTACCGTGTCCCCTAATCACAACGGCAAATACATAACGACATGAGCACATCAAAACGTAAAATCATTGAAAAAGTTTTATATCGATGGTTGTTGCATGGATTGGGAAGAGAGTGATGCAGTCGTTGAAGGATTTCTATAGCGGATTTTTTTAAGTAGATAATTTATAGAATGACATGTATTTTTGTAAAACGTGTAGAATAATATATATTTTGATCAATTAAAAAATTTTTCTTCAATTTATACAAAAAAAATATTTTTTTATTTTTTAATTAAACCATCCAAAAAAGCGAAATTCTTCGGTGACTCCAGGGATGATAATCCGATGATGCTACAAAAAATGTTATTTTCATGAAGTTGTATCTATATCGTTTATATAACTATGATCAAGATTCATAGCCGATATTCCTATCGCATTTTGGTCATAGCTGTATAAACGATATAGATGTGATAAGACTTCGTAAAAATGAAAATCTTTGTAGCGTCATCGGATTCTCATCACTGGGTTACTCTGACGACGACAGTATTGTTTGATGATTGTCCGTAGTACTAGTGACAGTGGCTCTAGTGGTAAAGCATTGACCTGCGGATTCAGAGGACGCGGGTTGGATCCCCCGACCTGTCTGTTTGTTTTTATCGATTAATAACAAAGCCTTCTTCCGAGATAGCTTCATGTTTCAATACGTCATTTAACAATGTAAATAATTATTATATAGATAAAATTTACTTCATTAAGTTTAAGAATTTAACACACACATACATATACACAATGAACCGAAAGCGTGGGACACAGAACACATGGGCATCAGCTCTGGGAGCATATAAGCTCGGACGGAGGGCAATAAACTGAAAGTGTGAAACATAGAACGCACAAGTATCAGCTCAAAGAGCATATCAGCTTAATAAGAGGTGGGGAGAAGGTGAATTGATAGTGTCGAAGTGGAAATACACGGGCATCAGCTCAGGAAGTATCAACTCACTGAGCTGATGTCCTTCTGAGCTAAGATCTCTCTAGTTTACCTACTTATATATACATACACACACACACATATGTATGAAAGTATGTCTGTCTGAATCTGAAGTGCCCACGAGCGCTCCATCATACAGAAATTAATAATTGAAAAAGTAGCGACGTCATCCATGATAGCTTAAATTAATTACGACTTTTCATTGACCGTAACTATTACGGGAACACATTTTAATAAAGAATAAGAAGATAGTCATAAATCATATTTTGAGCGACGTTTAGAGTTTTGAATTGCTGAAAGCTTTCATGTTTCTTTAGGATTTCTTTTTAAGTTTCATTAGTGGAAAAGTACGTATCGTTTCTTGAATTAAAATGTAATACCGTACGGTGATTTTACTACAATAATCACACACTTGTTTTTTATGATATTCTTTGCGAATGTGACTTTCACTCAGATATAGATACACAATCGCTAGGTTCTTATGAGTCTTCATCGTTCATTAAGTTTGATTATTGGGAATACTTGACAATATATGATTTTTAAGACTCAGATTTGCGCTTTTTATTTGGTGGTTGACGATTTATGTCTTTGTCATTTGTCTTAGCAAATTAAACATTAAAACAGCAAATTAAATTTTTTACATTATTACGACTTTCGCTTCGAGAGCGCTTATTTTGCGAACCTAAAGAATTGACAGTGATCACTTGCGCAGCGATTCCCATACTTGCTTGTTCGAAAATAAATTTAGCTAATTTCTCTATATTAGTCTTATCTTTACTTACAGTAGCATTATAATGTAGATACATAGGTACTTAAGAGAGAACGAGATAATTTTATCAATCGTCGGCTAAATCGGGATTATGTAAGTAGCTATGACTATCATTCATTGACTTGATTGCCAAGACCGTGTTTTTCACATTTATTGTAAATTTAATTATACTAGAATCGTCTTCGTTTAAATTTAGTTAACTGCAGATTTCTGAGGTCAACTTATCTAATATCAATTTAGTATTGGCAAAGCGCATCTTCAAAGTTTGCATTATTTCTGCCGCATTTTGGCAAGATATTAATCAAGATTTTACTGCTACATATTCATCGTATTTCTAGACCTCAAAAAGTCATAATACATTTTTGCTTTACGTGTAATTACCCGTTGCGTTAGATGTTTTGAAAGCTTTTCTGAATCGAAACTAATCAAGTGGATCTAAATATAGGTAATAATATTGCTGTTGACATCCTACTGATGACCGTCGAGTTTTTGATACTCCATAAAGAATTGCGAACAGAAATTGACTTTCCCAATACATTCGCAACTTTGATTATAGGGTGCATATTTGAATGATTTTGATTGAACCTGTCCCTGTCTTAAGGTTTTCTAATTGAACTATGAAATCGGTTATTTGATTTTACTGTTACAAAATCAACGTCTTCACTTTGGTCTTCAAATCCTTCTTCGCCGAGCTGCATTACGAAGTTTCCATTTTTCCGTCCATATTAATTATCGTCAGCGTTGTGAAATGTATCTTCGCGCTCTCCATCGAAGTCAGAAGGTCTAAAGGCGTCGTTACCTTGATGATCTCTTTCTGGAACGGTCGAGGCAACAACATCGCTTGAGGTAGGGTGACCTTAGACTGGAATGATCGAAGCGATTGCGTTACCTGCAGTTCAGTGACTTCTGGCTGGAACAGCCAGGGCGACAGTGTCACCTACGGTCCGACGTCCTCGGTCTGGAGTGGCTACGGCACGTTGCGAAGCATTATTTCATGTGGCGACTCGTCTTGGGATGGCCATTCCTTCACAATCGCGTGGTGGTTGAATTGGTTTTGGATTGGTTGTGTTCACGTCATAATGGTTTTCAATTCCCGGATTTTGGCACCAAAATGTTGTCATCGAAATCAATACAAAATAAATTTTGTTGAACGTAAATCTTTATTTATATCGACGTGAACAGTACAATATATTACAAGCGAAAAATCTTTTGGCGTTGCTCGCCTCTGCATTCTATAATCGGTCGTTGCTAAGAAAAAAAAAGAAAAAATAACAGTCTTATCGTCAAACTACTAATAATCTCGTTATTAAGCAAACTAATACTAATTGCTAAGGGAATGTCGCGCTGTTTTTTACACGATTATCGTAATTTTTACATTTTACATTTTTTTTTCGTTTTGTTACACAATCGTTGCATTAATATAATATAGGTACTTATATTGCAGAAGAAATTTGAAAATTTTCTTAGAATCACAGAAATATATAACTTTTTCATTTTTTATTTCCAATGACGATAGTATCTGGTATCTCCCTAATTTTAAGATGCATGGATGAAAATTAAGTCATGAAATCGTTAGTCATGATAGAAAAGCTCTTGCCGGATATTTCACGACTACGAAATCTATACTAGTATGATTTTGATAATGTAAATAAATATTCAAATAAACGAATTTGTTTGATTTACACATATTACATGTACCATCTTAATTAAAACTTCCATCAGTACATTAAAAGTACCACGGTAGTTTTAATGTTCCAAACTATTTTACTTTATATCTTACAAAATTTAGTTGTAAATGTATGCATATCGTGCACAGGTGAATCTATACATCTACGAGATAAAACCTTGTATAATATTACTCTGTAATACATGATATTGTAATGTCCATAATTTATAAATACAATTAATAACAGCACATCCATTAGTATAATATTTATACTGCAATTAGAAAAAGCTGTGTTTTTAATATTTTAAATTCAAGCATTTCCTCAAAGATCATTGCGTACCTCTATCATTAAATGAAATAATACTTTTTATCAATAATCAGTAATTACATTATATTTTATTTGAACTAAAAATACATTTAGATATTTAAAGTTATTGAATATCTATTGAACCCAGAGTCGCCTAGAACCATACTTTGGAGGTAACAATGGTTCTTCTTTTGAATATGGTACAGAAGCATCGGGATAATCTACTACATTGGCTTTTGGTTTTGGCCTAGTTGTATCATGAATTTTGACTTCACAAAAGTAACCATAAGCTGGTCTTTCAATGTTCATGTTGGATAAGATGCATTGATCAAATACAGCTTGAGTTTTTCGGCATCTACAAAAAAAAATAACAAATATTTAATATAAGAAATAAAACTTATGTTGTCAATGATTCTATACTGTAAAGTTATTACGCTTGTAAAGTGTGATTAATTCAAGAGTACCCTATAAAACCTTGTAAACCATTAACGTGTTCTTATATTTCTATCGATTTTGTTGTATTTTTTTATTTGATTTCTATGTTATAATTTGCAAGTTGGGCAGATACAAGCTCATCGGGGTAAGGCATTCTTTTAGAATATATTAAAATAATTGAAATGCTTATTTTAAATAATTAAGTTAATAATAAATTTCATAAAATAATAAATTTGTTATTATTGAAAAAACTAGTAACATATAAAAAAATTATTATTACTCCTTCAACAATAATTAAAAATATTAAATAAGAAATTGAATTATTGCTATTTAATGACTCTACTCTTATTGCTCTAGTTATTCGCGTCAGATGATGAAGTGCGAGAATCATTTTACGCATGATCTGGAGACTTGTAGATGAGCGCGTTCCTTCCTAGAACAACGGTTGTTCGAATAATTAGGCATTTGAAGTAATAGAAACCAACATAAAAAATCACACATGCACACACACACACACACACACACACACACACACACACACACACACACAAACACACACACACACACACACACAAACAAATAGAAATGTTTAAGTATAACTGAATGTGTTAAAACATAAAGTTCATCTATATGCATGATCATATTATTTTGAATGATAGAAATGCATATTTATATTAGCGTCCTCTAATAGAACTTCAGTCAAGCTGTTAGCGCTATTGTCATCATATATTTTACCGAATTCGCTCATCTGATTGTGCCATCAAAAATCAGCATGTAAAAAGCAGCTATATTCATAGTTGACAATATAGCTTTACAAATTTTCAGTATTGAACTTTGACAACTATGTGGGATAGCATTAATGATTAATAGATTAAATCACTCCATTTTTCTGGAATTTATATGAAGAACGTGTCTGACACTGAGTCTATTTATAATCCATATACTCGTATGTTGTCGTATTCAGTTTACGGTACGAGGATCTTCGTATTAACATTAGCTCTCAAAACAATCCGGTTATCAAACCTAACGTTATGTTGAAAACTATGTATCTAGCAAGGACTTAACCTGTTACCCTATTTACATATGAAAAATATTTTATAACTATGGTAAGTTTCCGAAAATCTTTCTTTCAAAATTCATCAAAAATAATTTAACTTTTTCAGTCAAGTTCACTATGTTTGTACTTCTCGAATTTTAAACTTCATCAATAAGTCTGAATACTAATTAATTACTAATTAGTAATAATAATTAATTTTATTCATAAATGTAATGCTGAATAATAATTCTAACAGTGAATTTTAAGTTACCAATAGAACAATATAACCCCATTAGTGGTATGTCAAAAAATTAGTTTAAAATTAATAAGACATTATGTAATCAATGCTTTTTAATAAAAAGAAATATAGCTTTCTTTCTTACATTCACTAAAAACACGTAAAATTAAAAATGAAAGTTATTTGTTGTACAATCGTCATGGAAAAATTATTTTCCACCAATTGAACCAATACCAAATAAAACCTATGTATTTGATCTATTAGACTTACTGATATTCAAATAGAGTATTAAGATTGGACTAGGGTATATTAATAAACCGTAATGTTAGACAGATTTTATTATATGTTTAGATTATATTTTAAATATATTTCAATTATATATTTTTTATTTCATAATTTAAAAAAAATTCTTTTTATTGTACCGCACACTTTTCTTAGTCTCATTGGTATATGTGTTGTAGGCAAATCTATAATTTTTATTGTTCTTCTAACCGCCTCTATTCTGTTGATCCTCGGTTGGCCCTTCGTTTCTGCAATAAATAGCGGCAATTGGTTGGATGCGTTCTGGTTGTTCTGAGAAAAAAAATGTATATATATATATATATATATTGCAACGGTATTCGAGTACTATTATACGTGTTTAACGGAGCGGCGGTTTGCTCTGCACCGTGGGAATTTGTTCTTAAATAAATTTTCAATTTTTCAGATAATCTCCCCCGTTACAATATATATATATATATATATATATTGTAACGAGCCGGCTCGTTACAGGGAAAAATCCGCTGAATATAGGGCCAGCGCGTGCCATGCGCGGGCCAGCTGTGCAGAAAAACCGTGCGCGAGCGGAGAGTAGAGAGAGAGGACGGTGAAGGGTGGGGGTAGTGAGGAGAGACACTCACGTGTGAACCGGCTTACCGAGCGGAAGTATACAAAGGAAAATCACTGCTCATTAGACGATAAAGGAAAAAAGTGGAATCGAAGAGCAATACCGAAGCAAGTACGCCAAGAGTGAGTGTCGTCGCCCAGGTGACACCGGATTTGAAGAGTGTCGAGAGGACCAAGAGGAGGAAGCGCCTCCCGGGCAACGAGAACCATCACGTGAGCTCGGAAACTGAAGAATCGGCAGCTAAATTTTCCGTGGAATTACAGCGAAGAGAAGTGAGTAACTTCTCCGATACGTAATTAACTGCGAAAAGATCACGTTAAATTAGGCGCGCGAGAGTAAATTCGTATAGCTCTCTCTCTCTCTCTCACGGCAAGACATCGCGCCTTGTAAATGCGCGACTGAGCAGTGTGTCATTCGGAAAAGCTCTCGGCCTTTTTCTTCATGAAACGTGTATCAAATGTCAAGTGAATAAAGGGTGTATGTAATTGATCGGCCGCTTTGCTTATTGACGTGGGCAGAAGCGCACGTACCTCCTCTGCCCAGCCATCCGAACCCACCGACTTCCTCGCGTGAGCAGTACGCCGAGCCCGCATTCGACGAAGCAGCCGGCACAACAGCCGGGAGGTAAGTCCTCCTTCGACGAAGCGGCGGTTAGCTTCGCAACGTGGAAGCGACGGTGACTGATTTTTGTTAACGGATATCGATTTATTCTCTCGGATAAATCACAACCGTTACAGTGGCGCCCAACTTAAAGTGACTGGGCACAGGAGTACAAGGCCTCCTACGAGAGCGTCAAGGGCACGCGTGTTTTCTAGCTGTGTTTTGATTCTGAGAGAGAGAGCCGCGGCGACCGATACGTGTACACGTGAGTGCGAGTGGTAAACACCGCGAGGTAGGCGAAGCGTTGTTCGTCGCGCATACTCTGGCCTAGGCATTTTGAATTTTGTAAAACTCTTGTAAGGCCGAGAGTAATACTAACAACGTGATAGCCAAGGCCAGAGACGAACAGCAGTCGGTGAGACAAAAGCCGCGCGCGACAGGCGAAACGTAAATACTGCCGCGCGCACAAATAGTCAACAAGTGCCCATTTACAGATTTGACTTTAAGAAGTACAGGGCTACTTACGTTTTTTTTTCAGGCTACATTAAGAAAACGAATTAAAAAGTAATATCTTTTTTTTTCTATAAATTTTGTTTTGATTGCATATAGCAAATCTCTATATTTTGTTTTCTTTCTTTCGTCTCCAAAACGCCTCAATTAAACCGACTGCTAAGAAGCGACGAACAATAGGGAAGAGGGCGCGCCCAACAAAAATTAACACAGCTTTGCTAACAAACAGTTAGCAAAGCTGATAGGTAAGATTACTGTTTTTGCGTAGTAAGGGCGCGCCATAACAACCTCGCGGGATAGAGCCAACAATTTCGTACGGCTAGATAAAATCAAAATAAAACCGGTGGCAATAAGACCGTTTGTTTTTTTTTTTAAGTAGATTTTTCAAAAAAAAAATACAAACACTCGTACTCACGCTCTTGGGGACTAGCCACTGTTTAAACAAAACGAGCGTGCGTAAACAATGGCTAAGTCAACAAATCAAACGCTGTTATTCGACTTGGACACCACGGAGGACGAAATACAAACATGGGTAAGCGAGTTCGATGACAAACGTCTAAAAGAGACGCTATCCGAACTAGAGCTGCGAAACGACGGTGACAGAGCCGCGCAAGCTAACAGATTGCAGAAGTGGCTACTCAGCAATTACTCCGAGGCAGATTTCGACCAGACAAGGGCAGTTGACAAGACAACAGACCCAATTAGAAGAACAGATCTGCGCCAGTCATTTATATCCGAAGAATGCAAAACTCTTGAAGATGCAGCGGACCTGGACAGCCATCCGCTATACAGACTGCTGACGGACGATGAAATCAAGACAAAAATGAACTTGACAGTCGGCAAGACCCTATCAAAGGAAGCAGAGAAGAACTCTAAGGATGATGGTAAAACGATCCACCAAGACTCTATGAAAGACATAGAGGAGGAGATGCCCACGTTAAAGGATGCAAAGGGCAACCCAATAACAGTGCCACCAGCGATAGCCAAGGTAATGACGGAATGGATAAAACGCCTCACGAAGATCGAAAGGGCAATGACGAGAGAAAGAGAGTACGTCCTGTCAATTGCGCAAATGGCACAAACAATTTGCGCAACACAGGCAACAGAAACCTCTCGTCTATCCAAAGCACTACACCGCATAGGAGTACTAGAAAATGAGATGTACGAATTACAAGAGAGCAACACGTGCACAACAGAAACCAAAGAAGAAAAACAGCCAAGCAAATCAGTGAATTTTCAAGACACACTGACGTTCCACTACGACACGGTGGTACCAGGCAGCACGCCAAAAAGGCCACAGCCGCCCGTAGGGGCCTGGTGGTCTGCAGACGACCCCCCCGCACAGCCCTTAGGAGGGGGCAGACAGCAGAATTTCAAAGCGAATTCTTCTGTAGGCGCCTACTCAAGACCAACAAGTTATTCAACGCAGAATTACCCATCAGGGCTGTCGACCACCAGAGATATCGGCAAGATCGTCAGAGGCTGGCGCGTGAAGTTCTCCGGCGGAGAAGAGCAAAGCGTCGACTTATTCTTGGAGAAGCTAGAGGCACAAAGAATAGCGTCTGGGCTATCCGAGGAAGAGATGTTGTTGGGGCTACCAGACATGTTAACTGGAGTAGCCCATACATGGTACATCAACAACTACAAGGA